GGAAGCTGAGCCCCCGAAAGTCCTCGGCGCCCGTGGTGAACATCAGGAGGATCTGCAGATTGCCTTCGATGATGGAGCAGTTCTCCAGCTTCCGGAGCTGGGAGACGTCATTGCGGATGTCCATGCTGCCGCAGACTGGGGTGGCGAGAGGGGGACCCCATGGGCAGCAGGGACGGGACAGCTGACCCCCAGCCGCACCCAGGGATCCCCCTGGTGCTGCTGGCGGGGTTTAATATCCTGGTGCTGCCTGTCAAGCACGGCTGGAATTGGTTTGGGCAGCTGGGGAGACACGAGCGGCTCTGACAGCAGCTGGCGCGCTGCGGCTCTCCGGGGCACGGCGCGTCCCTCAGCAGTGATGCTAACGAGGCCTGGCAGGCTGGGCGCCTGCCCTGCCCCACATCAGCCCCAGAAACACGTCCCAGCCCTGCTGCCCACCCTGGGGGAAGCTGTCTGGGGGTGCAGATGGCTTTTCCCCTTCCCCGAGCTATGGGGGCTCACAGATCTCATGGAGTGGGTTACCCAGTGAGTGGCAGCTCCAGCAAGGTTGTCCCCATTAACTGCCCCTCATGCCCAGACAGGTAATGGGGCACGCAAGGCTACCACAGGTGTCCGTGTGGCACAGTCCTGGTCCCATGTTGGTTGTCCTGGGGCTTTTCCACTCAGAAATGGGCGGCATGAGCCCCAACAGCTCCTGCTTTCTCATCCCGGCAGGGGTGAGAGAGAGCCAGAATAAGCAAAGAGCTTCCCGCCAACAGCATCCCCAGCCACCAGCCAGGTCCAGGTCCTGGAGGGGATTGGGTGTCACCACCCCTTGTCTGTCCACTGCCAGCCTGGGCCAGCAGCTCCTGGCCATGTCCTTGTGACCTCGTGCCCAGTGGCGTTTTTCCCCTCTTGGTGTCACCCATGAACCGTGGGCAAGGTGGCCCCATGGCACTGTGGCTCTGGCAGCTGCCTCTCCCTCGCCGGGAGCCCTGTCCCCTCCCCGTAAGGACAGGAGGGTCCCTCTGTCCTGGCCGTGAATGCAGCACCGGCCCTGAGGGTTACAGCCCCCGCTGGCACCATCACCTCCCTGGCCTTGCACTGTCGCCCTGTAAGGGGAGAGGGTCCCCCGTGTCCCTGGCAGGGCAGGGGTCCTGGGTGGGAGCAGGCACAGCGAAGTGTGTCCCTTGGGCACCTCTCGGATGCTTCATCCACTTTCTCCCCTCCTCCCATGCCCCAGCACAGTCCCGTGGTGACTGGGGAAACTGAGGCACGGGTGGCAGGGAGAGGGGAAGGCAGGACAAATGACAGACCCTCCTCGTACCCCCAGCTGTTCCCTGTTTTGGCCACGAGACCCAGGACCCACAGCTGCCCCCTCCCCACCATGGCAGCCCCTCCCCAGCGTTTCCCACCCCAGCAGCCGAGCAGGGAGCAGCGCTCCCGAGTCCCGTGACCATTTCCCACCGTCCCGGTGGGGCTGAGGGACCGATACCCCCCATCTCTGGCCAAGCCCCCCACTACACTCCCCTCATCCCATCCCAGCAATAGAGGGGGGGGTCCCACGCTCTGCCCCTCCTGCCCAAAACAGGGGGTCTGCAGCACTGGGGGTACTGCCATGGGGGCAAACAGACAGGGAACACCAAAAGAGCTTTGTCTCAGGCTTTGTCCCTTGCAGACCCCCGAGCACAGGCGCCAGCAGGCAGCCCCCACCCCAGAACTGCCCCCCACCCGCTCCCGGCCTCCCCCTGCCCAGCACTTACTTTCGGAGGGAGCCCACACGGGGGGCAGTGGCAGGTGGCCAAGGACCAGCAGCATCACCCCGAGCCTCGGGGCACCCAGTGCCCTCGGCCCCATCCTGGAGCGGGACCCCCAGGGCCCCGTCCCCGTCCCACCTCGGGCTCTGCCGCAGCGTGTCGGGTCCCGCTCGCCGTGTCCGGCCGGTGCCCGGGGAGCGCGGGGACAGCGGGGCCCCCACGGACAATGCCCGGACCCTTCACTTTTGTTTTCGGCTGCCGCACACAAAATATTTAGCCTGACAACTGTCAGGGCCAGGGCCAGGGCATGTTTGGGAAATAGAGAGGGGGAAAACAGGGCGGCCCCCCCGCGTCGGAGTGGGTGGGAAGGAAGAGCTGCCTCCTGCCTCAGTTTCCCCATCCAGAGCAGGAGGATCCAAGCTGTTCTGGCAGGGCACGCCCGGAAAGCAGCCGGCAGCCCATGGAGACCCCCAGGAGCAGCACAGAGGGACAATTTAAGGGTCACTCTGCCCCACAGGGTGAATCCGGGGTGCCACGGCTTTGGGGTCCCCACAGAACAGCAGCCCTACAGTGAGGGAGGAAGCTGCGGGCACCCAGCACCTGCCTGGCTGTCACGAGTTGTCCTTAAGGGGAAGGAGAAGCAGGGGAAGAGGATAGAGGAGGAGGAGGAGGTTATTTTTCTCATTAGGACAAAGCAGGGAGGAGGGTCCCAGCCCTCCCAGCGCAGAGCTGTGAGGTCCCAGCCTCAGTCGCGGCATTCCCTGGGAGCCGGGGCAGGATCCAGCCTCAGAGGCTCAGGACAGGAAAAGCCCTTTGCGTTCCTCCTCCTTGATAACTCTTGATAACACCCTCAGCTGTGAAGAGGAGCCAAGAAAGGCCTTTAGGAACAGTTCCTGGTGGTTCCAGCCTCAGCTCCTTGAGGAGTGGCCGGGACACGGTGGGATCAGCTGCTGGCAGTCGATGTCCCTGTCACCGGCGTTCCCCCTCCCGATGTGCCGGTGAGGATTGCAAACAGGAAGCCCGGCTGACACGGCGAGGGGAAACGAGTGAGGCTCTGAAGGTTTGGGGGAGGGAAGGGTTTTTTTAGGTGGAGGGAGCCGGGGCTGGCACCGCTCCGCGTGCCGAGGGCTGCGGGGGGACACCGGGCACCGTCACCACCCCGGGGTTTGCCACCTCACGGCACAGCATCCCTGCTCCCGGTGCGATGGATGAGCCGGACCCAGCCCTAATCCTTGTCCTAATTCCCAACCCGTGAGAGCCCTGGGACACAGCCGGGTTGGCACCGCTCTCGCCGCGGCTCCAGCTGGAGCCTGGCACCGGCCGAGGTGACAGTGACAGTGACAGCGGGCACGTGGCAGCCCGGCTGCTGCTCCCCACAGCAGCGCTGGCAGCGCTCGTGTCCCCACAACAGCCCAGGAGTGTCCCTGGCTCTGGCACCCAGAGTCTGAGGAAGGGAAACGGTGCTGGATTACAAACTGGGACTGAACCCTGGCTCACGGTGGGAGCCTGGGCCCACCGAGCCTGATGTCCCCACCGAGCTCTGATGTCCCCACCGAACTCTGATGTCCCCACCGAGCTCTGATGTCCCCACCGAGCTCTGCTGTCCCCACCAGGCTCTGCTCTCCCCACCTAGCCTGATGTCCCCACCGAGCCTGATGTCCCCACCAGGCTCTCCTGTCCCCACTGAGCTCTGCTGTCCCCACCAGGCTCTGCTGTCCCCATGCCCAGTGGTGCCAGGTCCTGGGGGGCAGACAGGAGGGACAAAGACACCTTTGCAGGTGCTGGTGGGCAGGTGGCCAGAGTCCGCTCCTCTCCACAGCCCAGCCTGTCCCGAGGCTGCCGCTGTCACCTGGATGTCACCCCATGGCCACCATGCCACCTTCCTGTGACGTTTCCCCATCACATGAAGGTTCTTGCAGCTTTGGTTGCTGCTTCCTGCCCGTCGCAGGCAGCAGAGGCTGAGCACAGGCGCTGCTGCCCCCCCTGCCCGACCCCTGGCCCCTGCACCTCCTGGCCACAGACACCCCGAGGTAGGAGCGTGGGCTGGGGCTGGGGCTGGGGCTGGGGTTGGATTTGCAGCAAGGCCAAGGAGTGAACCCTGAGCAGGGGCCGCTGGACAGGGCAGCACCAGGCGCTGCAGGGATGCTCACCCTACCCAAAGGCAGGACAAAGAGCACGAGGATGGGGTGGAGAGAGAGGAATTGCAGTCCCCTGCCCACACCAGCCCCTCCAGACAGACCTTACCCTCTCCAAAGGGGGAAGTGCAGCCCAGAAATGTCGCACAGAGCAAAGCTTTCAGCCCGTTTCAAGACTGATGTGACTCGTTCCCACCTCAGGAGTGCAGGGTTTCAGAGGCACATCCTGCCCCACGGAACAAATCCGCCCCCCCCCCCCCCCCCCCCC